AGCCTCTGTTTTTCTCATGTCAGTTCCGAATCACTTACTCTTTCATGCCCCATGCCCATTTGAAGGATCAGAATAATCAAAATGATCACAGCCTCTCATCAGAGGTTTAGTGATGTCCACCTCAGCCGGGTAGTTGTAAGCCAGCTCTAACCACCTACATGCCAAACAGATCATAGTTAACAAGGAGCAAGCTCAGACTACTCAAACTCCATTCAGTGCATGTGCTCAGAATACACCATGCTTTTCCCAGTGTCTTGGGAAAATCTACATTGCTCCTGATTCAATTTCCCATTTTGGGTCCTATCTAGCCATTGGCCTTGAATACTCATTTCATTTGCTTCAGATTACCCCTTAGTTAACTTCAAGATCTTTGATTCACCTGGCTTTTTCTGCTATCCATCTCAAACCCCTGAAAATAAGCTAATGAAATACTTAGAAACATCGACAATGACAGTAACAACAATACATGAACCTGAGTTTGACTCATGTCTCAATTTCAGTGAAGGAGAACTTATGGCTTCTGTCTGCCCTAATCCTGATCTACTCTAACTCATTCTATCCTCCAGCACCTTAGTGGTGACTATCCTATGAAAGAGATCCTCAGAGCAATGAAGATCTAACTCTGTAAAAAGCTTTTGAAAACTAGTCCTTAACTAATTGTCAATAAGAGCAGATTCATATAAATTATAAATTAGAACTTAGGCACTATCTACAACAAATAACCAAACTTTAATAATAATTTCTTGAAGTATAAACTTTACATGTACTCATCATTCTGGTGCTGTTTATATTAGGCAGTGTGCCAAAACAAGCATGGAAATAAGTAGAACAAGTTGTAGTGCTATCAAGTACATCAGGGTAACTATAGTTAACAAAAATTTACTATGTATCTCAAGCGGAATTCAGAATGTTCGTAATCACAAATGATTGAAATGATAGATGTGCTGATTATCCTGATTTAATCATTACATTGTATCCTTGTACTGAAAAAAAATCATAATGTTCTTGATAAATATGTACAATAATTAAATATCAGTTTTAAAATATGGACAATTTAGAAAACAAAAGATGGCTTCTTGGTAGCATGGTGGATAAGGCAGCTGGATCCTACATAACCTACTATACAGTTTAAGTCACAGACCCAGTAGCTTGAAAAACAGGCCAGGTGCCCGTTCATGCATGCCCAAAATCTCAAGAAGAGAGTGGAAGAGAGGGGATTGCAGTGTGGCCATCCCCTCTGAGGGGCACTTTCTCAGGAAGAGAGGGCTCTTTCTTCTCTCTCTCTCTCCCTCTCTCTCTCTCTCTCTCTCTCTCACTGTCTCTCTCTGGTGAGTGCACACACATTATAGCAAATATTGGGGGTAAAAACAGGGACCAGCATCTGGCATAATAGTTACATCACTGAACTCCCATATGGCTGATGGCCATTCGAGTCCTGGACCTGGTGGCTTGAAACTTACACCAGGCATATGTGCACGCATGCCCAAAATCCTGAGAGGAGAATGCAGGGGAAGGGATTGTGGCGTGGCCAGTCACCCTGGGGCATGATTTCTTACTTTCTGTCTCTCCAGTGAGTGCACGCACTCTATAGCAAAATAATATGCAAACAAAATAGAAATAAAAACAGAAGAGGTTCTCTCTTTTTTTAACTTATCTTCTATAAAATATATGGCATGCTTTTATAGTTAACTTACATATAGTAAGAATTTTCTATCTACATGGACTGTATCACTAAGGAAGAAGTCTTGAATTTTTTGGTGGGGTCTTAATTTTGTTTTTCCACATCCTATGCCTCAATCAGGGCTCTATGTTGCTTATTTTATTATCACACCAAATGTATGAAGTAAGAATTATAATTTCTATTTTAAGAGACATAAAGAGATTTCCCTAAGAGTACACAGCTACCAAATAAACAAAGATTCTTAGTTCTTTTCATTATACCTTTCTACTTTTGATGAGAAAAAAAAATTCTGCCTTGAAATAAAAGAGTGTCCCAGCTAAAAAGAAAGCTGCTACCATAAAAAGACAAGGAGAAAACTTAAGTACATATTTCTAAATAAAATAAGTCAATTGGAAAGGGATACATACTTAAGATTCTAGCTATATTACGTTCTGAAAGTGGAAAACATTATGAATACATTAAAAAGATCAGTGGTTTCCAAAAGTTGGAAGGGAGAGATATATGACTGAAAATAGCACAGCAATTTTTTAGAGCAGAGAAACTATTATGCTTCTATAGTGGGAGATACATGTCAGACATTTGACAAAACCCAGAGAATGCACAACACCGAGGTGACCCCTGAGATAAACCGTGGATTCTGGGTGATAATGATATGTCAATGCATGTACATCTATTGTCACAAATTTGCCATTCTGGTGTCCGAGGTTGATAGTACCAGCAGTTGTGTTTGTGTGCGAACATGGAGTACATTTTCTCTACTTTCCACTCAATTTAGCTGTGATCCTAGAACTAATTTAAAAAGTCCAAACCAACAAACAAAAAGATTTAACAAAAAAGTGTTTCCTCACTACACAAACACCATGGGCTTTATGTGACTATACTTTATACCTTGTGCTAATCAGTAGAACTGTCTAACAGAAATACTTGAGACTGGGTGTTTTTTAAAGAAAATATATGTTTATTCATAAAACTCATAATTCTGGTGGCGAGGAAGTCCTAAGGCCTCACAAAATGGCAGAAGGCAGAACTTTTAGTAGAGCAGAGTGTGGTCTATGTCCATGTAGCCCCACCTGCCTCCTTTTCTGTCCTTAAATACATTCAAGAGCCCAATCATGGAGGACCCCCCCCGCCATGACACATTCAAAGGCCCCTTCATGGGACACCATAAAGGGATTAAGTTTTCACTTACAAAACAATCAAGTCCTATGACTTGCTAGAGTAAATCCAAATTCAAAAACATTGTGCATTGGCTCTAGTTGTAGATGAGATTTCTTCTGAGACCCTTGATAGCCATAAGAGTCAAAGCCACCTATGAAATCAACTGGAAAGGGACAATTGTCTTCATTAGTTGACTTTTCAGAGTAAACAAGCATTTGGTTTGGGAACAAACCATTATCTACACCATCACAAACACCCTGGGATAATAAGAAAAGAAAAACAAGATAAAATAAGCCAATAGAGTAAGATTCAAGAAAAAAATAAAGCTGTCCTCCAGCATTCTCATTTAGTCTCTATATCACTTTCCTTTTTCCTTTCTGTCAACTATCATGTGGGTCTCTTGTCATTGTACCTTTTTTACCCCCGCCACACCTCTATATGTACAAAGAAAAAAGAAAATAAAATATTCTCACATTACTTTTAATATATACTGTTTCAGTTATTATTACTGACAAAACTTAGTAACACAAAACAACCATCTATTATGCTTATGGTTAATAACTCATACAGGTACAGGGGGGATGGCTTATCTCTGTTGTCTGAGGTCAGGGATCTGAGGAAAACTCTAAGACTAGGTTATTCAACAGCTTGGATCTGGAATAATTTAGAAACATTTTCTCTCACACGACTGGATGTGGATGCTAACTACCAGCTGGCATCTCAGCTAACCTGTCAGCTGAAACACCTATCCATAGGTTCTCTGTTGATTTCTCCATGTGAGCTATCTTGGGCTCTCTTCTGGCATGATGGCTGTGATCCAAAAGAGAGCATCCCAAAGAGCAAGAAAGAAGTGCTTGACCCTTTTATGTATAGCCTTGGATGCTACATAGTGTCATTTCTATCATCCTCAAAGCTGCCTCAAAGTTCTGCTCAGTTCAGGAGGAAGAAAAATGGAGCCGAAGCACTGGATGGAAGGACTGTCAAGGTCACATTGTAAGAACATGTGAAATACAAGATGTTGCAGTCATTTAGGAAAATATAATCTTCCTCACTAACTCTTACCGTATCTTACTGTATCTTATATATCTGAGTATGTATTGCTTTTGAATGTGTCATTAGACTTAGCTCTACATCTTTATATCTAATTTTCTGTTCCAGATGGTAAACCACATGATGGCCCTGTCAGCTATGTTCAGTTCATTTACATAAGCTCCACTATAACTCCTTGTACTGGACACCCATAATATTTAATATTATTACTAGTACTGTGATTGCTGATAGATACTGCACTTGACTAATCAGTATTTTATGCAATGAAACTTATAATATTACAGAAAATCTCCACGCCAACCAAAAAGAAATATAGCATCTTTAGCGTGCAAATGATTTTTTTCTTTGGAGAGGTTTTCGCTATAGGGCACATGTGCTCGTCAGAAAGAGAGAGACAGAGAGACCCCAGGGGGGATGGCCATGCCACAATCCCTTCTCCTCCATTCCTGTCTTGGGATCCTAGGCACGCACGCACACGCACCCGGCATGAGTTTAAGCCACTGGGTCTGGTACTCGAACCGTGGTCGACTACATGGGAAGTCCAGTGACATAGCCATTACGCTAACTGCTGGTCCCATGGACAAATGAACTTTATTATTACAATTTTATTTCATTTTATTATTTATTTATTTATTTTGTTGCTATAGGGTGCATGCACTTGTCAGAGAGACAGAGACAGAGAGTGAGAAAGTGGGACTTCAGCCCCCAGGGGGAATAGCCATGCCACAACTTTCTCTCCATTCTCTTCCTGGGATTTGCAGCATACATATACATGCACTCCACATGAGTTTCAAGCCACTGGATCCAGGACTCGAACCATGCTCAGACAGTGACTCCAGCACCTCAGCACCGTACTACCCACTGGCCCCTTGTTATTCCAATTGTATTATTCTTGGTTGCTTGAGAAAAGCACATCATTTCTTCTACCAAATGAATAGACTCTTGTAAAGCAATAATTCAATCACTATCTTGAAGGAACTATCGTTTTAGCCATGGTTAGTAGTTTAATATTTTATTAAAAGGTTTTTATTAGTACTCTGTGTAAGACCTTGATCATGAATGCTTATTTGTTCTGAGAAGTTAACTAATGAAGACAATTGTCCCTTTTCAGTTGATTTCATAGGTGGCTTTGACTCTTATGGCTATCAAGGGCCTCAGAAGACATCTCATCTACAACTACAGCCAATGTACATGTAAGTGAATTACTTTGGAGGTACTCTTCTGAGATATTTATTAACAGATAATTAAATAAACATGTCATGGCACCAAATAGATGGCATGCAACTTTCTTTCAGTTATATACTTCAGTATTTCCTCTTATGTTAATGTTGTTTGGACAAGGGTAATTCTAATAACATTTTCTTTATGATTTTTAAAATATGTGACTTAACAGAAATGCCATCTCAAAAGTTATCTTTAGTCTTAAATTTAAGTATCCCCTACATGGCTCAAAAACTTGTGTTATACAATAGACCACTTCTTGAATACCCTAAAATTGTATATTTTGAGAATGATAGAATACCACAGGCAGTTATATGTAACTATATGCAAGCCATATATTCTGGTGTTCCTAAGGTAGTCCCAATTTCCACTGGTTGTGCTGGCATAATTACCAGCCCTCCGTATTATTCTCAAAAGAGTTCTCATTTAGATGAAAAATGATAGGGTCACCCTTGTTATATATAGTGTTCAAAAAATTCAAACACTGAGCAATACTCTTTCTTTTTTCTGATGTAAAAGCAAAAATGAAACTAGAACATTAACACTGAAACTTATCAAACTCTTAACTCTAGCACTTGAGAGAGCAGACATACAATCAGAGCCTGATTTTTATATCTGTGTTTAGGCAAATTCCCTTGGATAACAACTGATAACAAATTCTATATATCAGCATCAAGTGATATGCTGAATTGCAAGCGAAGATCAAAATAGAAAGTAAGATTCCAATTCATTTTAAAATGTGAACTTCTCTCTTTGAAGATATGTGTTTGTTGTCGTTGTCCTCCACCATTGAATCATTTTACCTTTTAATATCTCTAGTGTGTAGGATCATAAATGGATTTTTTGGGATAGTTCTCCTCCAAAGAGATTAATCTTTAGAACCCCTTTAAACTTCTCTTTAAAAAAGAGAATTATGTGTGCATCATGCTGCCTTTTCCTTTGTGTCCCTTGTACTTTTCTGAAGGATTTGCTAATACTGCCCATTAAAAAGACTTCATCAGTTCTGAAATGAACCAGTATTTACGTCATCCACAGCACTGCCTCTGCACACAGTATATCACGCATCCCTTCTGTTACATCCCCCCAACCACTGCCCTAATGCCGACACGCATGACCTGTTAACTTGAGTGTTCCAGTCTCATTCTTGTTTCAGAATCCTTATTCCATCTCCCCAAGGCTCCCCAATTAATTTTCTTAAAGCACCCCTTCAATGATCTCACTTTCCTGCCCCAAAGGTTGAGCAATGACTCCTTATTGCCTACTGACCAGAGTCTAAAATCTTTGCCATAGCCTGCCATTGATCTACTCTCGATGCTCCGTTGCATTTTTACCTTTATTTGAACTCTTAATAACTGTCAAGCCCCAATCAAATGCAGATGATGCTGGGGGATATTAAGAAAATGATGAGTAAGAAAAGGTTCTGTCCTGAAGGTCCAAACTCTGGCCTTTCCGTAAGGCTCCAGTACTGTGCAGCAGTGCCCCCCACCTCCTGCACTTCGGCTGCTGGAGTCCTTCAGATTTTATCTTAAAATACATCTCCTTCATGAAACATTTATTCCTCATTTTTATCACTAATTTTTTTTTCTTTTTTGCCATGAACTTTGATTTGTACACTAGTTGCTCTTTTTCCTTTACCTTGCCTATTCCCAGAAAGGCTTGATAGCTACCACCAAAAATAAAACAATAAATTCTTTAAGTTCCTTATCATTCTCCTCAATATTTTATTGTTCTCAATATTTTATTATTGCCTTCTGTGAAGTGTTCCATTTTTAAAAGGCAAGGCAATCAGAAGCCATGGTTAAAATTAAAGATACATAGCCTAAGATAAAATTCCTTATGACCTTGGGGATATGACTTTACTTGAATAACTTTATTTAATTTCATTAAATTTAAATTTCCTCAGCTGCAAAATAATAATGACATTTTAATCTATTTTGTGACTAATAACAGAAAATAAATGAAAGTAAGCAATTTAAGAGACCTAGGGCCAGCAGTTGGCATAATGGCTATGTCACTGGACTCCCATGTAATCGACTGCAGTTCAAGTCCTGGACCCAGTGGCTTAAACTCATGCCAGGCATATGTGTGTGTGTGTGCCCGAGATCCTGAGAGGAGAAAGGAGGAGAAGGGACTATGGTGTGGCCATCCTCCCTGGGGGTGAATTCTCACTTTCTGTCTATCTCTGTCTTTCTGGCAAGCACATGTGCCCTATGGCAAAAACCTCTCCAAAAAAAAAAGAGAGAGAGAGAGAGAGAGAGAGAGACTAGAGGTTTATTCAGCTCATGGTTTGAGGTTCCAGGTCCAGGGACCATACCTAGTGAACTTCTCATAGAGTCCCAATCACATTAGGAGTGTGAGAACAGAACAGACAACTGTGTTCCTGAATCTACTTCTGACCTAATTCTCTTTCCTTATGAATTCACCAGTACTCAAGCATGGGGGCCCTGCCCTGATTGCCTTTATCCTAATCTCTTCCCAAAGGCCCTACCTTACAACACCATAATAATATTAAGTTTTCACTCTCTCAGTCCCATCACAACCAAATCTCAACACATGAATTATTGGATGACTCAAACCATAGTAGATAATAACACACGTACTTTATATAATTTTCTGAAATTATATGAAATAATGCATGAGCCCTGTAGTAGGCCAAAATATCTACAATGCTTTCAGTTGCTGGATTCTGACAATATTACATAGCATATTACTGTGTTGGTCAATGTAAATGATCAATAAATATGATCAAGCTATAATAAATGACATAAGCTCTAAAGATCTCATGTTATGATAAAAATATGAAGATGCTAATTATACATGTTCACATATATTGTTTTAGATCAAGCATTCGTAATTAAGCATTGGTTTTTAAAGAGGGGACTCTACAAAGGCATGCGTCTTTGTCCAGATTAATTTTTTTGAGGATAAAACTTTCCATGGTTTTGTTACACTATTTCATTTTATTTTTATCTATTAATTTTTTAGAGGTTTTTGCCTTAGGGTATGAGCACTTGCCAGAGAGAGAGAGAAATAGAGACAGTGAGATGGACAGTGAAAAATGACCCTCTAGAGAAGGTCACACTGCAATCCCTTCTATTCTCCTCCTGGGATTTTGAGCACACCCACACACATGCTGGGTGTGATTTTCCAGTCACCATGTCTGTGACTTGAACCCTAATTGGTTATGTGGGAGTACAATACCTTAACCACTATGCCACCTGCTGACCCTAAATATACTACTTTAAATGCCAACTAAATGTAATAGGAAATTTGTTTTTCCCTTTACTGCCTGAGAATGGTAAACTCATATGACAACTTTTAAGTCTCATTGCCCATGAAATAAATGTTCGATGGAATTCAAATTCAGGAAGTTAGGGATACTTAAAGTTACAAAAAAAAAAAAATTACTAGTTAAAATACTGCTACCATCCCTTTCATAAAACATCTCGTAAGAAACCTCAGATCCTACAACTGAGAAGTTATTTTGCCCATGAGGAAATTGAACCAAGAGAAAGGAAAACAATAGTCATACAACTTGTTAGTAGTAGAGCCAGGGTTATTAACCAGTTTTCCTCACCTTTTAGTTCAATATTCTTTGCAAATTGTTAGATGGTGAATTTGACCTGGTATTACAGTCCCTGGTTTTTCATTTTGTTGTGTGTACTCTTTACATTAACTTTTTCATTTTTCCATTCAACCCATCCTTTTTTCTGTATTCCCTTTATTCCCGTTGGATTTCACGTTATGCAGTATTGGATGAAGTGCCTTTTCCTCTGTGTAACCCTCAAACCAGTCACCTGAGAGCCGCAAACCTATTCAAAGCCTGTGAAAAACTAAAACTGATCCCCATGTAAGCCCCATCCCCTGCTGAGAGGCAGGGACCTAAGCATCTCCTATGTCTTTGTCATTTAGAGTGTACCTTCTTCTGTCCCCCTGCCATAAATATGTCTTGTAAAGTCAGAGTAATTTAACATCGTGGGCCAGTTCAAGCACTCTAACAATATTATATAGTAACTGGAAATAAAAGCTGTTCCTTGAAGGAGAGCAAATGCCGAAAAGCAAGATGCATTTTCAGCTGTAGGGTTTCCCAGCAAATCTATGGCTGAAATCCTGGGTGAAGTTTTAAAATCACTGCTATAACTGACTGAAGAGTCATAGCAGTGTTGTAGAGCCTGTAGCCAATGAATAGACAATCCCATTTAGTTTTAGTTAAATTGAGCGAGTGTTTTTATTTGTAATTCTTCAGATGATCTATAATCCATTTAAAAAGGAAATGTCACTATGTTTTTTTTTCTGATAGTTTGATAAATCTGTTTGAAACAAATGATAGCTATGAAGTTGCTGCACGCACACGCAAAGCCCCCATTTCTACAGGTCAGTTTTCTAACAAAGTAGCTGCTTTGACAACTGACCTGGGTGCCAATGTGCGTGCAGCTTGATGGGGCTCCCTGCGGTGTGAGCAGATCCTCTGCTATTTTAGACAACATTGGAAAACATTGCATTCTTTTTGGCAGCTTAATTGAACAGCAATACATATTCATTTCATTAATCCCTGAAATAGATTTTAAATTACCATAGTGGTCCTCTATCCAAGCTGTTACACTGAAAAAAAAAAAAAAGAAAGAAAGAAAGAAAAGAAGAAAATTGACTATTTGAAACCAAGATGAGGTTTGTTTGTTTCTTTTCTTTTGGTTTGCTCTTGTACTTGGAGAGGTGAGAAAAGATGATGATCAACAGGCATCCATTGCTCTCCCCCCAATTAAAAGCATTTTTTTCTCTCTCTTAGGTCAAAATAATAAAGATGAATTCAGTATGTCAGCCCATGGACCTTTCAAAGAACTTGTTTCCCAGTGGCCTCCTGCATTTTATGAAGAGCAAGAAGCAACTGAGTTTAATTATATATACAATTTAATGAAAGAAACACAAAGCCTCTACACACACACACACACGCACACACACACACACACACACACACACACACACACCAATTTCACTTGACCTCCTCTTTCTAACTGAAGCAAACAAATATGCAGGGCATGCCCATCTTGGATTTCCTGAAAGCAGGCTCTTTTCTTCCAGGCCTTTGGACCGTTCAAAAGGAGACATGTTGGTGCCCTCTGCTGGTCATTACTAACTGGTCTGCAGCCCAGCCAGTACGCCTCCTGAGCTATGAAGTCATCCAGGGCGCCTTAGTTAGAGATCCTTGTCTTCTGCACCCCATACATCTTGATAGCACCACAGCTACTTAGGCAACGTAATTGCAAAAACAAAACATGCCATGACGACCTTGTAACCGAAGTCTGAAACTGGCAGGTTGTTGGCCCTAAAGGCTGTACCGTACATACTTGCCTTAACCCACTTAACGTTGTGTGCCCTAGAATCTCAGTGCAGACATCCCCAAGTCACCTCCTTTAGGCTAACACACTGCTATTAATTCCGAGTGAGTTGAGTCTGCGTGTTTCACGTCATGGAACGAGACTGAATCGCTCAGCAGCTCCAGTGTGTCTGTGTAAGAAAACTGCCAGCTGTCAGCAAAGTGCTTTACCATTGAGCCTCCACGGCGGCCAAAAAGAGACAACTAATAATAACACAAAAACAGTAATAATTGTCATCTTTATAATTCTTCCATATGGTCTTCTGATGGGGTTGGGGTAGGGCAGAGTAAAACTTATTAATCTACTAAACTCATTAATCTACTGAAGCAGAAAGCAAAAATGGCTTAATTCATTGATTTTATTTATTGCACTTAGGTGCTTTTATAAGTATCTACAAACGTCTTTTACTAACACAGAAACAACTGTGGGTTTCTATCAACAGAGGCCAACTGAATATGTATTAGCTATGTTTACTCTTTTATATCTAATTCAAATTGAAGACCCTATGTAGGTGAACTTTTTTTTCTAACTTCAGCGTACGAGATTATTTTTTGGGTGGGTGGGGGGAGCAATAGTTACCTTGGTGAAATATTTGAGATCTCTTTGTGATATTTGGGGGATCTGTTGTGTGTTAGAGTGTATTTCAATCCTCCTGTATTATTGTGGCAGAAAAACTGTGCTGTTAACGTAGTTGGCAACAAGATGCCTTTGGAAACTTAATAGTAGGTCAATGTGTTTATGGAATACTCTGAAATCCTAGGAAATTTTGTTCTATATTTTCCAGCATTGTTTGGTTGTCATTAGTGGAAAACATACTTAGCTCAGGCTTATCAGGAACTCAAATGAGTCAGTATTTTTGTTATTTTGGTTTTTCTCTCGTGGATCCATCTAAGACTCTACAATTGACTTTTTTTTTTTTCCTTAAAAAACAAACATACCATCTTCAAGTGAAATTCAGACTGGGAAAGTTATAAATTGGCATGGAGCAATCTTTTTCTTTGGTTTCTATAAATTTGCAGTTATTGAGTAAGCTTAACTTGGACTTTATTCCATCCAGAGCTGCATAAACCAGTCCCATTGCTGTGTTTGCATGGACATCTGTGATATGCACACACACATACATTGGGAAATGATAAACAAAAAGTTACTATTGGAACATAAACTGCAAAACACACAAACAAAAGGTGCCAGCACTCATGCTTGAGTTTTCTCAGTGGCTTGCATATGTTTGTCCATATCTCCGTATATAAAATATACAGTTGCACACTTGTCAGTGAAACCTCATATGATGCTTTTTTAGTGGCATGCATGTTTAATGTACAAGAAAAATATTTACCAATGTAGTGTCCTTTGATTCCTAAAATATAAATATTATCCATGCCAGAAACTATTCTGATGTGACTATTAATGTGACTATTACAATGAGGTTTCACTGTACACTGACGCTGTGATGAGATCCCACCTTACAGCACATTTACGTGGATACAGAAATAAGCCCTCACATTCCTCCTTTAAGTTGCAGCCAACATATCACCAAATCACTACTCTCACCACCACCCAAATTTTCAAAAACAGTTGTTGACTACTAAAAAGTAATCAATGGACAGGTCTATTTTGGAAGCAGTAAGCACAGTAGTGTGATTATATCTGGGAAAACATCTAAGTTGTACAGCTGTATCCTCCTCAAAATCCGGTGAAGAATGCTATTTTTCTAGGCTGAGCTTTTGTTATAAACCTAATATTCAGAAGGCAAGAGTTACAATCCTGATGTGTCCTTTTTCTTTTTCTTTTTTCTTTTTTTTTGCATTTGTTAATTCTGAATGTATTTTTAACAGAGTGATTTTTTTGACTTACTTGTGTAATTTGCATTTTAAAAATAAATGGAAAAACAATTTTGTTTCCGAGCCATCCCTGAAAGCCCTGTTTCTCACAGCGTATTTGATTTTCTCATTGACAGGGAAACCCTATTAAGTTTGCATGAAGGCAAAGCTGATGTTCTATGCAGTGCAGGGATGTCTAAGCAGTAAGGAGGAATTGCCAGGTCATGGCACTATTTTAGCGCCGTCATAGGTAGAGTGTACTTTCATTATCTCCTGACACCATGGGTTCTTTTCACAGACTGCCTGCAATAGACTTGCTGTCATTTAGAGAACTTTTCCTTTCTATTTGGGATTTGGAGTTAGCATTAACTGAGTAATTGACAGGTGTTAGGGCACTATATTAAAAAGTATAGGTTCAATTATAGGTAGACTTTTTTCTCTCTCTCTCTCTTTTTTTTTGGCCAAATTATTTAAAATAAAGCTATTTAAATTACTCAAGTATTGCTCCTTCGAGGACATAACCCTTTTGCCGTTGGTAGAATATTGATACTCACTACAACAGAGGGCGATAGCGGAGCTTGTTGGGTTCGGACGGGCAAATACCAAAGAGTAAACTTGAGCATTCGTGACCCTGACCATAATTCTGCTACGGCTCATTGTATGTACAGTAAACATAGAGGGTAGTATACTCTGGCTGCTCGAGCTCAGGCTGCTATGGGGTTGTGTCTTTCCTCGGCACACAGACACGCACCTTTTGTTCCCTGTAATAAACGTGTGCTTAAGTGCTGTTCCCTGAAGCAGATGTGGATGGTTGTCACAACGCTGCTTCACACAGCGAAGTCGAAGGCACACATTTCAGTTGCATAAAAAGAGATCAAATTAATAGACCAACTGTATGTGTGTGTGTGTGTGTGTGTGTGTACATATATATATGCACCCTAAAGAAAAGATTCCTTCTTCTGGTATTCCCAACTAAATAAATACATTGCCCCACGTTCCAACACGGTGGAGAAATAGAGAAAAGATTGCGAATTGCCACGCCCCATTGGTGGGGTACAGTCTCTGTCCTTCTCTGTCTCTTTGTCTCTCTCTGGCAAGCACATAAGCCCTCTGGTAATGTTTTTTTTTTTTTTTTTTAAAAAGCATAACCCCGGTACAGTAAAGCAAATATTCAACATTACATTATTATAATGCGTGGACTATTTTACTCAGGAAATACAAACATTTTAGATCGAACACGTGCAGAATGAACTTGAGATCAAAACGCATTCGTTATACAGTGAGGAGACTAAAGCCCAGTGAGGGTAAGAAATTACTCAAGATTATGATACAAGGGGACTTCGGAAGATGTATGGAAAAATGGAATTAAAGTATTAAGTTTGTTGTGGTGAGAGGACAATGTGAAATTCGTGCATGTTTTTTCATTTTCCACAAAAATGTTTTTTTCAATTTTTGCCAGAGTACACGTGCACTAGTCAGAGAGAGGCAGAACGTGGGAAAGTACTCCCCACCCCCAGGGGACTAGTCAAGCTGCTGTCCATTCTCCTCCGTTTCTCCCCGCAGACAGAATTTTTTTTTTTTTTTTGGAGAGATTTTCACTGTAGGGCGCATGCGCTCGCCAGACAGACAGAGAGAGACATAGAGACAGAAAGCGAGAAATCACCCCCCAGGGGGGATGGTCACGCCGAAATCCCTTCTCCTCCATTCTCCTCTCGGGATCTTGGGCACGCACGCACACACGTCCCGCGTGAGTTTTAAGCCACCGGGTCCGGGACACGAACCGCGATCGACTACGTGGGAATCCAGCGACATAGCCATTATGCTAACTGCTGGTTCCCCACGCAGTCAGAATTTTGAGCACACACATACGCCCAGTGTGGTGTTTTTCAAGCCACCAAGTCTGGAACTTGAACTGCTCAGTACATCTGGCCATGTAGGATCCAGCCACCTTAACCACTACACCAGGGACTGGCCCTACACAAAATTTTTGATGATTCCTTGTATATCCTGAAAATGCTAAAAACTTACCATTCCACAACAAATTCTAGTATGCGTACTCTGGTTAGAATAGACTGAACCAAATACGTAATACTATCAAGTGACATTGAATTTTGCAAATTCAAATAAACCTTGATAAGAAAGACTCTAAGACCATATTAAATCATAAACTGCTTCTGAATTATTATGTATTAGGTTCAGTATAGTTTTGGTATTAAATGTATTTTATTACACTATAATTAAAACAAAACAGTAACTCAGGCCAGCAGTGACATGATGGTTAAGGTGGCTGGATCCGATATGGCCGACAGCATGGCTAAAGTTCCAGACCAAGAGTCCTGAAAAACACACTGGGCACTGCTGCTTACATACCCAACACTCCAAAAGGAGAAATGGAGAAGGAGTTACAGCACGATGGTCCTCCCTAGGGAGTAATTTTCTCTCACTCTCTCTCTCTCTCCTGTCTGTCTCTGATAAGCACACATAATGCTCTAGCAAAATATCTGTAGAAAAGATTTTTAAAATATACACATATGTAAATCTGTCTATATTTCTCTTTATTAATCAACCAGTTTTATTCCATTTTAGATTTAGAGGTTTTTCTATTATTTTTATAGTACACTGATTAATAACCAAACATTACAAAGATTACTTTAAGTAATTCAGTCCTATGTACTTTCTATACTCATCATGACAATCTTCCCTGGATATGTTATCTCTCTCTCTTTGAATATTTTAGCACTCAAAATTTGTACTCAGGGAGTTTTGTTTTTTTTTTTTTTTTAGAGTTTTTTTGCTATAGGGCGCGTGCGCTTTCCACACAGACAGAGAGAGACAGGGAGATAGAAAACAAGAAATCACCCCCCGGGGGGATGGCCACGCCACAACCCCTTCTCCTCTATTCTCCTCTCGGGATCTTGGGCATGCACGCACACACGCCCGGTGTGAGTTTTAAGCCACTGGGTCCAGGACATGAACCACGGTCGACCATGTGGGAGTCCAGTGACATAGTCATTACGCTAACTGCTGGTCCCCCTCAGGAAGTTTTTATATGAAGATCCTTATATTGTAGAAAATGAAGCCCTGACTCACCCAGTAGTGTGATGATGAAGATAGCAGAAAGCCACATGGCCACTAGACCAGGTTCTAGTCTTGAACCTGGCAACCTGAGAAACACACTGAGTACATGTATATGTGTGCCCAAAAACTGGAAAGGAGGGAAAGATGGAGGAGAGGGGATTGCGATATTACTGTTCCCAATGGGGGATGCTTTCTCCTCTTTGTCTCTCCATCTCTCTCTCTCTCTTCTCTCTGGCAAGCACATTTGCCTTCTAGCAAGTCAAAAAAAAAAAAAAAAAGCCCAATTATTCTCATCACATGTGATTCTATGCTAAGGATCCATGCCCAATCCCTTTTTTTATTTTATTACATCTTCCTTTCACCCACTCCCGAGAAAGAAAAGAACAAAATTCCCAGTTTATTATGCCTACTTTAGTACATACTAGTATCTTGGAACAATCACTGTTGATAGCTATGAGAGCAAAATATCTAAGACATACCCAATCCCAGTGGCCCAGCGCTAGTGTAATACTCTGCCATACTGGAAGCCATGAGGAAGATCAGCGGTTCAAGTCGTGGGTCATCTCGTACACTCAGGGTACACGTATATACCTGTGCAGCTGACTGACTAGAGACTGAGGGGTATTGAGGCATGAGACCCTACTGAGGGTGCTCATCTCTGTCTCTTTCTCATGAAGGAAATAAATGAATATATATATTTTTTAAAAAAAACTCTGAGACATTTATGCATTCTACACCTTTTAATTCTACAAAAACTTGCACTAAATAATACATTTAAGAGTCATGTTTACCACTGATATCTGCACAAGCATCATGAGTTACAACTACCAGTGACAACAAAAGAAAACACAGGTGGCTTTCTCTTAAAAGGGATAAGGCCAGTTTTTAAAATATTTTCTAGAAGAATGATGAAAATTGTTTTTTTTTTTAATCTTAAGCATTATAGAATTTGGAAGCAAATGAGCTTAAGATTCTGATTGGTAATGGAAGTTTAAGATCAATTCAGAGAGGAAAAATCATTTTACAAGCCATGTGTAGATGCTCTTACACAGCTTAAACTATTATTAGAATTAATGCGACCCTTTTCTAGAATGAGAGTACCTTAATACAGTGGCACCTTAATAATAAAACAGGTGTAATTTTTAACCACTCATTCTGCCCTCATATGAATTTAAGCTGTAACAGTGAAGGAATAAAACAGCTCCCAAAAAAGATTGCAAATTGATGCTGTCACCCCAAGGATGATGGATTGATTCAATTAATCAGTAAGTCTTTCCTAAGAGTCCTTCAGGGAGTTATTTACCAGAGGCATACCCTGTTTATTTCCCTCCACGTGCCTGTCATTTTTCTTCATTACTCTTCTAGTTTTCGTCGTTATATCTTTTGGGGATATGCTGATCTCCATGTGCAGAAGGTTTTGCACACAGCTGTCCAGGCATAAATCTTCCAAGCTTCAAACTGGAGGCCACCAGAACACCTGAGCCTCTTGTCATTGTTATCGTAGGCTGCCCAAGACGCTCTCAGGACAAAGCCAAACAAATAGACACTGACTTAGAAGTAGTAAATCAATGGGAAAGTATCAGAATGAATGAAGGCTATGAAAAAGTCCTTCATTTGGAAAGATGTAATAGCCTTGTGCTCAATTCACCATGAAACCAGCCTCACTGAGGATGACTCACTATCTCCAAAAGTAGGTAGGTAGGGAGAGACAGAGGGCAGAGAGGCGGGGACCTGTACTAGCAATAGTTCATGGTACAATGAAACATACTCAGTGGTTATGTTGTGAATGGCAGAAGACAAAAATTCTTAGAACATGACATTTTTATTTCTAATGAGTCATATCATTTATTTGTCAGGTTAAGTTGTGAAGAGTAAGGGTTCTACCTTTTAGCTGTTAGAATGATTATTACCAAAAAGACTAAAG